TTAGAAGGTGCCTGGTTGGTGGGGGCAGGGAGGGGCAAGACCCAGGACAGGCCAGGAGAGAACTTCCACCCTCCTGTGGAGGAAGAAGGGAAAATCGTGTTTCCCCTGGGGTGGTGCTGAGTGAGTGGAAGGGAAGATTTGGGGGGGTTAGGTGAGGCTGTCAGCAAGTGAAGAAGAACCTCGCCCTTCTCTTTTCACCCTCTACCAGGCCCCAACGAGAATCAGGACTTAGGACAGAATACTATGAGTATATGTTCTCCACATTTGGTGTGAACTGTGGTTTTGCACATTTAAAAAAAAATCCATGAATATATATATATATGTTAAGGCCTAAGAATAAAACGTTCAACGCTTGTTAGATTGATTTACGGCAGTTGAGTGTTGAGGCATATGGTGCTCGGGACTCTGTACTCTTGCCTCAGACCCATCACTGCCAGGAAGGGGCTGCAGAGTTACTGACTGGCCCAGAGCACAGGCCCAGCAAGGGGGCGTGAGAAATGTCCAGGCCTGGGGCGGGAGGCAGGAGGAACGGATGCCTAACTGAACAGGTCTAGTTAAGAGAGGGCTACATGATATAGAATTGATTAAGGGGCAGGTGAAAGGACTCCTGAAGACAGATGGTAGGAGAAGAGGGGAGAATGCGGATCTCAAAATTAGTATGAGAGCTTTTTGAGTCCAGTGGCCTGCCCAGAGATCCCAATGTGGCTGGAACCAGGCCATCTGCAGATGTGCGTGTATGGCATGCACCTCTACTGCCTTTGGTTAGAATTTAGCCTGGTGTCATCAGGGTATTTCCCAGGTCCCAGCATCATTCCTTCACATTTTTTAGTTAACCCTCAGAATCTTAGAATAAATGACCTACTTGATGGGGTTGTGTGAGGAAGTCAAGAAAATTCATGTGAAATGAGCTTTCCAAATAGTAGTGAACCATGCAAATTCTGGATGGTAATATACAGCCTAAATTGTTTCTACCCCAAAGTTTTAGTTTCTTCTATTGGGATATTCTTGGTGGGGCTGCATTTTGTGGGACACTCAGTTTTATGGGCAGAGTTCTTTTTAAAAACGGATTACCTCTGGAGGACATTTTGGGGTGGGGGGCATTTTTCTTTTCCTGATTAAGGCATGTGTCTTCCCAAGCAGGCTGGGTTTAAGCTGCGTAATATTTTGGCAGATGTGCCTGGGAGCTCCAGGAGCAGGTCATTCAAAAGAATTAGCATTGTAGTCGGGCCAGTGGTCTTTCTGGTCTTTTAGCATTAGCGGGTCTGAAAATTCTGGTTTCCAGCAGGAGGTTTTAGTTCCAGATAAATGACTCAAACTTTGTTAGTAGAGTGGGGTTAATAATACATGTTGCCTACTGTTTTCACCAGTCTGGATGGGAATAATAAAAAAAGAATATATGCCCTTGCAGAAGAAAAGAAGCACATAAACATATCATAAAATATTGTTATCCTTCTGCTTGTTTGCCACTTCAAAGTCAGTCTCTGTAGTTAGCAATCTGGCATCATTTGCCAACATTAATTTTATTCCATTTGTATTCCAAGTTGCAATTCCCTTTACAATGCACTTTAGTGCTTTAGATCTATTTGTCAGCTGTTATTTAAAGGAACAAATGAATTTGTCAAAATTCTGTAAATACAAAATAACCCAGAGAAATGAAAGTTTGAATCCGAAGCTGTTAAATGTAAGAGCCAGTGAAGATGACTGTGTAAAACTAGTGAGCTAACTAATCACCTGCAAGTTAGTCCCATTTTTATGGATTTACTGTAGCTGAATTGACTTGTATTTCTTCAAGTGTTCCAACTCTTGTGACAATGGGCAGTGCCCTGGAGTTGGAAAGAGTGAAATAACTCAGTTGTTTCCTGAGCCATATATAGAAACTGTTCGGTATTGTCATTCATATTCTAGACCATGATCTCTTCAGTGAAATGCAGTTGACCCTTGGACAATGCAGGGGTTGGGGTGCCAGTCCCCTCATACAGCTAAAAATCTGTGTCTAACTTTGGCCTCCCCCCAAAACTTAACTACTAAATCCTACTATTCACTGGAAGCCTTACTGATAATATAAACAGTTGGTTAACACATATTTTGTATTATATACTGTAGTCTTACAACAAAGTTGGCTAGAAAAAATGTTATAAGAGAAACATAAAATGCATTTACTGTATTGTACTGTATTTGTTGAAAAAAAATCCACATGTGAGTGGACTCACAAAGTTCAGGTCTGTGTTGTTGTTGAAGGTCAACTGTATTTTAGATCTGTTATGGTTCTAATTTCAGTATTCTTGAGTGTTGACAATCTGTAGGTGTAGGGGAGGAACTCACTGGGCAAAATGCCGTATTTTTTTTTTTAATCTTTTCCAGAGAATTATAGTTTGGAAGAATCTGATTTTTTTAAAAAACTATTTCAATGTGATTTTGTGTGTATCTGTGTGTGTCATGCATGTATCTTAGGGAAGTAGCTAGGAAATACTTTTTAAGGTAACAATGGGAAATGCTTCTGGAAAGTTAGGTCCTTTTAACTTGGCCTCTGTGAAAGAGGCATCCCCCTACTTTTAAAGAGGGCCCCACTCCTACAAACTAAACAGAATTCAGATGGATATAGTAGAACCTCACACTCTCATTTTTAAAAAGCTGTGTTCTTTTTTAAAGCCTGAATATAAATAAATGTTTCTTGCTTAGATTCTGCAGGCTTTTTTTACTACTACAGATTGCATATGCAAGGGAACCCATGCTCTTGTCCCCTTCCTTCCAACATTGAGGTTCCAGTAGCAACGTGGCTAAAGGTATAATGAGCCGGTAAGCCCTCATCTCCTAGTTATAATGAATGAAGAGTTCATAGCTCGTAATTTGTACCAGTTTCAAGTCCCATTCATATTATCAATAGGATCTGAGTGGACCTAGAAACTGGCCACGGAAAGGTCTAGATCTAGCCATTTTTAGTGCATATTACACTTTGCTGATGTGGACAGGTAGAGATGAAACTCAGGCTCTCTCCATTCTCTGAAGCACAGGTGGCAGGTGGTGTGTCTTGCTGCTTCCCTGCTCTGCATTTGGGATCTTTGCTGAAACATACCCAGGGTGAGGCAAATAAACAATCACCCATGCGCCACATAGCAGCAGCAGATAGCCATTGGTGTCTGACTAACTCTCTCAAGATACCTGTGCCCCTCTCTCCCTGTCAATTCTAGACCCACTTTCGTTTTAATCATACCCCTCCAATCTCAATTTTCCATCTTAATCCCTACCTCTGACTCCTGTGGATTGGACTCTAGTTCTTCCTCTTCCCAGGCAAATGGCCTGGATTCTTCTTCTGCTTTAGTGGACGTTTACATTCTAACTCAAGTGGATGGGTTCTCATTCCCATCGTTGGCCAGTTGACCAGCAACCACTTCATGTGATAAATTGCCTTTCTCCTCAAATTCACTTCTCTTTCACGTCTTCAGGTTTGTCTTTTAACCTTTGCTGACCACCTAACTCTACAGGCCATTGCATTTCAGGTGTGTAGATGAGCATTCTTTTTGATGCTAAAGGTCAAATATAGCAAATGCTAAGTAAACGAATACATAACCATTTTTATATGTTAGTCTTTCATTCCTGATTGTTGAGAATAAAAGCCTGGTATCTAGACCATTATACTTTCTTCAGCAATTTCTCTGTGCTCAGTATATGTCCTCCAAAATAATCTTATTTGATCTTTAATTGTTTAAAAGCCTTTCTTGATGAATTGATTTCTCATTGAAGTACTGTTGGCACCAAAGAGTATATATTTATTTGCGGAAGTGTGCACCGGCATTAAATAATTAATTGTTACGAATTCTACCAGAGAATATGTTTTATTCTGCTGGAAGCATTTATTTGGGCCTTTTTTCCCCCAGTGAATGATGGAAGGGGAATTTATTTGTTTTTTGCCATTTCCTTATGCTTAAAAACTCAAGTAGGGGCTACAAAATCATCAGTGTCAGGAACACTTTAGAAATTCTGCATTATGTATTGCAGTATTATCTTAATCCTTTCTCAGTTATAGAAATAACTTCTTCCTGATTGAGTCTCCATCCACGCTGTCAGGAAACAGCGGCTCACCACATCCATCACTTCTGTCTGCACATGATCGTGTTTCAAAGGTTTCCCAATTAATCCTGTGGAAGCCAGAATCACTCATAATTATAATCCTGTTATGCCTTCTTTATTTCTTGATGTGCTTGTTAATTCATGTCCATCCTGCAGCGGTCTGTAGCATAGTGCTATTATCAGCTGTTTTGTCTTTAAAAGCCTCTTGTCTACCATTGTGACTAAGATTGATTCACTGCACTTTGTTGAAATCGATCATTTTGGATGAAAAGAAATCTATCCTGTATATTTATTATGGCGACTTTTTCATGATTTCACTTTTTTTTTCAGTTCATCAATCTGCCAAGTTGGTTGCTTTCCCCTCTTTGGCTTCCTTTCTCTTGCTCTTTTCTTTTTTAAGAATTGTCTGTTTATTTCTCATGCCCTCTCTTAGACAACACCTGTGGGAAGAAAAGCCAATTGCCAGAGGCGGTGGAATAAATTCTGCCTTTATTTATTTTTTAAAAGATATTATGTATTTATTTGAGACAGAGAGAGAGAGCTCGAGAGAGCACAAGCGGAGATGGGGAGGGGCAGAGGCAGAAGGAGAAGTCGACTCCCCACTAAGAAGGGAGCCCAACACGAGGGCCAAACCCAGGACCCTGGAATCAAGTCCTGAGCCACCCAGGCATCCCGAAATTCTCCCTTTAGAACCAGGCTAGACACTACTCCCATTTCTCTTTTCATAAAATCAGAAAGATGGTCCCTTTCCTTGGTGCTCCTCTCCCTGAGCATTTTTTTAGAGTGAAAGCATCATGACTGAATCCCAGGCAAAATGGTCACATGCTTCTTTGTGGCCTCAGACTTCTCTGTATTCTAATCTTACCAGGTAGATTCCAAGCTGAACACTAAAATTCTCTTGCACACACTAATATTTTTTTTTCTTCTTCTAGGCACTGACTTTAATATAGATAGCTTACCTCTGCCTCGGAAAGCCCACCATGACTGGGCCCTTTTTCATGAAGAGTCTCCGAAAAACAATTATAAGCTCTTTCACAAGCCAGTCATCACCTTGTTCAACTACACAGCCACCTTCAGCCGGCATTCCCACTTGCCACTGACCACCCAGTACTTGGAGGGTGTAGAAGTCCTGAAGTCACTCCGATACCTAGTCCCTTTGCGGTCCAAAAACAACCTTCGAAGAAGACTTGCTCCACTGGTATACATCCAGTCAGACTGTGACCCGCCGTCAGACAGGGACAGCTATGTTCGAGAGCTGATGACTTATATCGAGGTCGATTCCTATGGTGAGTGTTTACGAAACAAAGATCTCCCTCAGCAGCTGAAAAATCCAGCCTCTATGGATGCCGATGGCTTTTATAGGATCATTGCACAGTATAAGTTTATCCTGGCCTTTGAGAATGCAGTGTGTGATGACTACATCACCGAGAAGTTCTGGAGACCTCTGAAACTGGGGGTGGTCCCTGTGTATTATGGGTCTCCCAGCATTGCGGACTGGCTCCCAAGTAACAGAAGTGCTATTCTCGTATCAGAATTTGCTCACCCTAGAGAATTGGCAAATTACATCAGACAACTGGATCACGATGACAGAATGTACGAGGCCTACATAGAATGGAAGCTGAAGGGTGAGGTCTCCAATCAGCGACTTCTCACAGCACTCAGGGAACGGAAATGGGGAGTGCAGGATGTCCACCAGGACAACTACATCGATGCGTTTGAGTGTATGGTGTGCACCAAGGTGTGGGATAACATCCGGCTTCAGGAAAAGGTGAGGAAATCGAGATTTGGCAAAGAGGTGCTAAGAGGGCCCTCTTGATGGTGTCTGCCATTTTGTATCCTTCTGTCCCGGCCACTTCATTCCCGTTAGAGAGGCCAGGCACAGCAGGGAGGTGAGTATTTCATTACTCTCCTTTGAGGATTGTCATGAAGTTTATGAATCATGTCCTTCCCAAAGACCTTCACGTCCCCTTGATTGTTTCTTCTGGAGGATGTCATGCTGCAGATGCTTGCTGGGTAGTGATAGAAATAGGCTGCAGAGGAAGGAAGAAGGCCAAAAAAATTTAAAAATTAAAAAAATTGGATGTTCTGTATCTCATCCACAAAAGTCCTTCAACTTTTCCATCACTTCTCTGGTTTCTGCCAGACCTTACATGCTTGCCTCATAGGTGCTGCTTTGAAACTTTTCATTTCATGTATGCAATGAATTAACATCTCTTTATCTCTCCTTTTCTCTCTCTCTCTCTCTCCTTCCCTCCCTCCCCGCCTCTCATTCTTGCTCTTTCTTTCTGGCACACACATGCTTATCAATATAGAGAAAATGTTCAAATAATGATGGATAATCCTCAAAAGATTTCTTTTTCTTAAATTATTCTATAGAAATTTCTGGAGTCCCTGGATGGTTCAGTTGGTTAAGCGTCTGATTCTCGATCTCTGCTCAGATCTCGATCTCAGGGTCATGAGTTCAAGCTCCGTGTTGGAACCTACTTAAAAAAAACTAAAAAGAAAAGAAATTTCTTAGTAATATCTCCAAATTTCTTGATGCTCTTAACATTTGGTTATTTGATTACTTTACTTATTTTTACAAGGAATGGTCCCACTTAGTATATAACTAGATTTGTTAAAAGGTAATTTACTAGAAGAAAAAGAAAGATTAGCTTTAATTACTTGTGAAATTTAAAAAGAAATGAGATTGGCCACATATACTACTTGGTCATCACCCATTGTTCCCTTACCTGCTCCCATATACACGTAACATTTATCTGAATACTCTGAAGCCAATTTTTGTTAAATATTGAGATGTTTATTTTGGTTAGCATATTAATTTCAGACATAAACCTACACAGTATGTGGAATTATTTTTGTGTATTGCATGTATACTATATAAGGCTTTCATATGCTAACTATGTACGTATTTAGATAATTTTAAAATATTTGCAAGATTATTTTCCTCATTTTAATTATTATAGAAATTTAAGTTATTTTATCTGGTTTTGTATAAGAAATTTTTACTCACAAAATCATTTATTGTGAGTGAAGTTTATTGGTCAGCAACACAAACACTAAATATTACATCATTTTTCTCACATCCTGATTTCCAGCGACTTCCTTTTTCACCTAATTTATAAGGTCACATTACAAAAACCAAAATCCACACACTGCAAAAAAACATGAAAGTAGAGACCACATGAATTACCCATGCTATCCCAATGATTTATTCTAAAAGTCTAACAAAGCAGAAAACAGAACTTCTGAAGGTGATGCTTTGCCCTGCACTACCGATCACAATCCTTACCAAGCTTGGAGATTATAGTTATGGAAAACCGGAGAACTACACATTCCAACTGCTTCTGCATCTCACAGATGCCCTATTGGAGTGATTACTGGGGATTCAAAAAGAGTGTGCAATGACACTGGTAGATAGGTTTTAAAAAATCATAGGAGAATACATCTATTCCTGCATTTCCAACAGAAATAGCTAACTATGGTGTTTCAGAGTGCCAGAAGGCAGTGTAATTGAATGTGCTTCTCCTTGGGGTCTTCGAAGAAAAAGAGATGGAGTAGCTTATCCTCTGGCGTGCTCTTATTCTTCCCAGAGGGGTGGTCAGTGAAGATGATTAAAAGGCTTTACTTGCATTTCAATGGTTGTGCTGCAATTCCTAAATGCTAATGTGCTCATTGAAAAGCAGAACAAAATATACCATGAAAGTAAATTAAAGGGTATTAGACCAGTTCTTTTCACTTGCATTTATTCATTTGTTCTACAAAATTGGTTACAGCTTACATATGGCATGCCTTAAAGTAAGTTATTTATGTGTTTCTTCACTTTTTCTCTTTCAGCCAAAGAAAAGCTAAAAGAAATAATTGGATTCCCTCTAACTCTGATTATTTTTTATCTTGTGCTTGGTAATAATTCAATCATTGTATTTGTGTGTAGAAAATACTATAAGGATGTCAAATGCCTTTCCCCTTCCTCTACTCTGCTCCTCTGCTGCTCTCCCTCCACACAGACCTAGTGAATTATCTATTGCTGTGTAAACAATATTGTCACAGACTTAGTGCCTTCAACAACACATATTTGTCATCTCAAGGCTCTTTGGGTTAGCTCATGGCTTAGGCGGGTCCCCTGGAAGCCTGCAATCAAAGTATCAGTCAGGGCTGTGTGTTCATTGGGAGGCTCAGCTGGGGAAAGTTCTGCTTCTAAACTCACATGCTTTTGGCAGATTCAGTCTCTTGTGGCTGTGGGACTTTCAATGTCTTGATGGCTGGAGGCTGGGGGGTGCCCTTCATCTTTTAGAGGCCATTCACAGTTCCTAGTCATACAGGCTTTCCCAGCATGGCTGCTTGCTTCCTCAAAGCCAGCAAGGGAGTGAGGAGTCCAGCAAGACCAGTGCTACCACCTGTGTGTATATAATCATGGACACATAATCGCATACATTCTTTCACATTTGCCCTATTTTATTGGTTAGAAGCAAGTGGCAAATAACATGGACACATGAGTGGAAAGGGTTACAAGGGCATGGATACCAGGAGGCAGGATTCCTGGGGGCCATCTGCAGTCTGTCCACCACACCTGTTGAATCTGAGTTAGCTTGTATGCTGTGTTGTATGCATTATTTAGGTAAGGGAAAGTCTTTGAATACTGAATTAATTAGTCAGTTAAAGACAATTAGTGGTAAGTGATCCTGTCCTCAAAAAGGCTATAATATAGGTACAACATGGAATCATCACAGATATAACTTTACAGAATTGGGATAAACTTTAAAAAAATAGCTTTGAGATATAATTGATGTACAATGAGCTGCACATATTTAAAGTGTATAGTTTGATTAATTATGACATTTACCTGTGAAACCATCACCACAATCAAGATGACAAACATTTCCAACCTCTTCAAGAGTTTCTTCTTGGCCCTTTTTAGTCCATCTGCTTTGATCTCCTACCTCAGGCAACCTCAACTCTGCTTTGTGTCACTTTTGACAAAGAAGCTAAGTCAGTTTTTTAGAACTCCATATAAATGGATCATATAATGATTCTCTTTTGTGCCTGGCATCTTTCACTCCATATGGTAATGTTGATATTTATCCACAACACCATGTATATCAATAGTTTCTCTTTATTGTTGAAGTTTGCACATACCAAAATGTCCTTATCCATTTACCTGTTGATGGACATTTGAGTTGTTTCCAGTTTCTGGCTGTTACAGTAAAGCTGCTATGAACATTCATGTACAAGTCTTTGTACCGACATAGGCTTTCATGTCTCTTCTGTAAGTACCTAAGAGCAGAATGGTTATGTCATATGGTAGATGTATGTTTAACATTTTAAGAAATTACCAAACTATTTTCCAGAGTTGCTCTATCTTACATTCCCACCAACATTGTATGAGAGTTCTATTCATTAACAGTTGGTGTGGTCAGTCTTTTAGTTTTTGCTATTATGGCAGGTGCATAGTGGTATCTTACTAACATCAATACCTTTTCTGGTGATATGTCTCTTCAAATCTTTGCTCATTTAAACAAATTGAGTTGTCTTGTTAATCTTGAGTTGTAAGAATCCTTTATATAACAAATACTTTCTTCCAGTTTTGGGGTTGTTTTTCCATTTTTTTAACAGTATCTTTTTTTTTTAACAGCATCTTTTGAAATGTAAAGTTTTTAATTTTGATGAAGTCCAGCTCATCATTTTTTTCTCTTATCGTTTGTGGGTTTTTTGTCCTATTTAAAAATCTTTGTGTAACCCAAGATAACTAAGATATGCTTCTTCCTGTTTTATTCTAGAAATTTTGTCCAGCAAGACACTTAGGTCTATAGTCCACTTAGAGTTAATTTTTGTAATGCAGCATAGTATAAGAGTTGAGATTTGTTTATTTAGGTATCCAATAGTATTGACACCATTTGTTGGAAAGATTATTTTTTCCTGATTGAATTACCTTGTTTTTTTTTTTTTTCAGAACTCAATTAGCCGTATATTTGGGTTAATTTCTAGACTGATAAATATGCATATATTTAATTACTACAGCTTCATAATAAGTCTTGAAATCAGATGGTGTCAATCTTTCAATTCGATTCTTTTTCAAAATTGTTTTCACCATTTTAGGTTTTATGCTCTTCCATATAAATTTTAGAGTCAGTTTGCCAATTTATATGAGAAGGCTTGATAGTATTTGCATTGGATTGTGTTGAGCGTATGTATTAATTTGGAGAGAACTGACAATATTGAGATATTTAATCCAGAGGAATGATATATCTTATCCATTTATTTAGATCCTCTTTAATTCATCTAGACATTACTTTGTAGTTCTTTGTGTACAGGTTTTAACTCTTTGGTCAAATTTGTCCCTAAGTAGTTCACATTTTTTGATACTATAGTAAAAGCTATTTTTTAAAAAACTTTATTTCCTGATCATTTGCTGCTAGTCCGTAGAAGTAAAATCGATTTTGTACGTTGACTTCATCGACTGCAACTTTATTAGTTACACTGATTAATTCTATATCTTTTAAACAGATTCCTTAGGATTTTTTTTGCATAAATGATCATATCATTTAAAAAAAAAAGATGATTCTACTCTGACTTCCGATCTCTATTTGCCTTTTATTCTTTCTCTTTTTCCTCCTTGCTGCACTAAGACCTTTATTATAATTTTGAATAGTGCTGTTGGGACCATATGTCTTCACCTTGTTCCCTGTCATAGAAAGAAAACTTTATCATGGTTTATGACATTAACTGTAGGATTTTGGTTGACGCCCTTTATCAAATTGAGAAAGTTTC